GGGCTCTGTGCTGACAGCTCAGAGCCTGGAGCCTGCTTCGGATTCTGTGTCTCCCTCTCTCTGCCCCTTCTCCGCTCATGCTCTGTCTCTCTCTGTCTCTCAAAAATGAATAAACCTTAAAAAAATTTTTCTTTAATTTAAAAAAACAACCCCCAATGAAATGCCGTTATGCATTCATAAGAATGACTAAAGTTTTAAAAAAATGATAAAATCAATTTTGGTGTGAATGTAGAATAGCTGAAATTATCACTGTACTTCATCATGTACACAAATACTTTAGAAAGCTGTTTGGCCATAGCTAATAAAATTGAACCTATGTATACTCTATGATGCAGGAATTCCACTCATATACCCAACATAACTGCATGTCACAGTTGCACAAATACATGTACAAAAATGTTTAAAGCAGCATTGTCCAGAGTTTGAAAGTAGAAACAACCCAGAGCACCTTGCTGGCTCAGACCTTGGGACACTCAGTTAAACATCTGACTTCGATCTAAATCATGATCTCACCGATCCCAAGTTCAAGCCCCTTGTCAGGCTCTCTGCTGAGAGCTCGGAGCCTGGAGCCTGTTTCAGATTCTGTGTGTCCCTCTCTCTCTCTGCCTCTCCCCTGGTCATATTGTGTCTCTCTCAAAAATAAATAAACAACAACAAAAAAAAAAAATTGAGGGGCGCCTGGGTGGCTCAGTTGGTTAATCTTCTGACTTCAACTCAGTTCATGATTTCACAGTTCATGGGTTCAAGCCCCGCATCGGGCTCTGTGCTGATAGCTCAGAGCCTGGAGCCTGCTCCAGATTCTGTGTCTCCCTCTCTCTCAAAAATAAATAAACATTGGGATGCCTGGGTGGCTCAGTCAGTTAAGCGTCCGACTTCGACTCAGGTCGTGATCTCCCAGTTTGTGAGTTTGTGAGTTCGAGCCCCGGGTCGGGCTGTGTGCTGATAGCTCAGAGCCTGCTTTGGATTCTGTGTCTCCGTCTCTCTTTGCCCCTCCCCCGTTTGTGCTCTGTCTACCAAAAATAAATAAAAAATGTTTTAAAAAAATTTTTTAAATAAATAAACATTAAAAAAAAACAACCCAGGGGCGCCTGGGTGGCGCAGTCGGTTAAGCGTCCAACTTCAGCCAGGTCACGATCTCGCGGTTCGTGAGTTCGAGCCCCGCGTCGGGCTCTGGGCTGATGGCTCAGAGCCTGGAGCCTGTTTCCGATTCTGTGTCTCCCTCTCTCTCTGCCCCTCCCCCGTTCATGCTCTGTCTCTCTCTGTCCCAAAAATAAATAAACGTTGAAAAAAAAAAAATTAAAAAAAAAAAAAACCCAGATGTCAGTCAGCAGTGAAACATTTAAATAAGTTGAGTAAGATAATAAGATAATGGTTATCTTCACCCTGTAATGTTAAAAGTGAAAGTAATGTGGAAGGGATGAAAAAAGATGCTAGAATAAAGTAAATTTTTCCAAAAAAAAAAAAAAGTTGATGTATATAATCAGACAAGGGAATATTATATTCCAACAAGGGAAATGAATGAAACACAGGTATAGGCAGCAATATGGATGAATTTAGAAAAAAAAATTTGAGCAAGAAAAGAATATGTAGATTCTGTAGAATATGTAGAGTATGATTACGTTTTTATAGAACTCAAAAGAAGACAAAGGTAATCTATGATTTTAAAAATCAGGATCGCTTTTACATTTGGGGAAGAAGAAGAGAGAGTGAATGAGATGGGCATCAGGAATATTATGGCATGTTATAAAACTATTTTTTTATTTTTTATTTTGGAGTAGTTACAGGGTATGTACAGGGCGTTGTGTTTGTTATTTTTTTAAATTTTTATTTATATTATTGCTTTTTCATTTTGGATTTGGTATAGGATGTGTTCAATTTGCCATAACTCTTCCAGCTATACAGTTATGATTAGTGCAGTTTTCTTTGTGTTGTGTGCTAATACAAAATTTATTATTATTTTCTAATCATATTGACATCCTAGCCTATGAAGAAAGAATGGTAACAGCATGATGGTTTCAAATTACTGAATACACCTGGGTTTTTCAGTTTTTTTGATGGTTAGTTTTAGTGCAAAGAAACATTTTTTCCCATTAAAAACAAAAATTCTTTATTTTCTATCCTAAAAGTATGATTTCTTGTCTAGGATCCACAATAAACTTATTATAGTGTCAAACTGTATTTTATTGTGCACATAGTGAGCGATTAAATGACTAAGGCACTGTACTACCAAAGTCTAGTCAGAAGTCAGTAGTCCACATCAAGCAGAGCATTGTGCTTAGAACATCAGAAGAATCAGACAAACATGTTTGACAGATCTTGTGTATAACTCCTATCTCTCCCTGATGCACCCTCTTATCCCCCCAAAAATACTTAAGTATTTCAAAGATATTTCAAGGCTTGATGAACTATAGTGCTCTTAGAAGAAACATAAAGGTGGTGGTATAATAGCAGATTGCGGTGATCGTTTGTATGCATAGAAACTAATACAGTGTACCATAGAATTGCTCTTGCCTGTCCCCATGCCAGAGAAATGCAAAGAGCTCAGAGATGTTCCTTTCACAAGACTTGAAAACAATTCAGAAATTGTAAAGAAATAATCATCGGTTGAGTTCTATAATGCTGACTTAAGATTCTCCCTAAAATAGCTGAAATGGTGAAAAAAATATATGGAGATGGTTAGGTATGAGATTATCTTGTATTGCCAAGGAAAAAAGTAATACGAGGGGAAATCTTTGTGACAGTTAGTTTGTCTTGTTAGGTGGTAATTAGCATTACAAGATGATCTGCTTTTTAAAATTATTGCTAAAATATTCTGTGTAAAACGGTTTTGCCCTCTGCATGGAGCACTCCATTCCCTCCGCCTTTTTTTTGCCTGTTTCAGAACCTCAACCAGAAAAGCCTGTGCTGACCCTTTCCCCAATATATAGTTGGTTCCCTATTATTCTTATAGAGCACCTTCCCTTTTTCTTCAAGGTACTTATCATAATTGAAATTATTTTATTTATGGTTATTTGATTGGTGTTGTTCTCATCCACTAAATTTTAAGCTTCATGGGGGCAGCAACTATGTCTTCTGTGTTCACCAGTTTCAACCTCCTGTTCCTAGCACTGCATAAACATTCAATAAGTATTTGTAGAATAACTGAACCAACAGAGTGTTTGACACTACAACTAAATATTTCATTTGGTGATCATTCTATGCCTGAGAAATTGGGCTAATTTCTACTTGTATTTCTGTCTAGAATGTAGCAGATCAGATTGCATTTCAAGTTGCTGGTGGATTAACAGCCCTTGAACACATTCTTCAAGTAGTAGTCCCAACCACAAATGTGAACACAGCCTCACGAATTCCTCTTAAGTAAGTATAGTTTTTTAATCTGTCTTTCACGTTTCATTTGTGAGTCATTTCTGCTCTATGGTTTCCATATGGGGGACCACAAGAAACTTGTATGTGTATTCAGGCTTGAATAGCAAAAGCTTACACTCCCCATTAGGGAGAAAAACAGAGGTGCTCGACTTCACTTACAAAACTCAAATCGAGCCTAAAAGCCTTAAAAAGGAAATCTCCTTGGTCTATGACCTTCTCTAATCCTAAAACAAGAAGAATGGATGAACTCCTGGGCAGCTTTAACTGCTTACATAAATTGAACAGAACTGAATAGTAGTAGCAAAAAGGTAGTACAAGAAGAGGTAAGTACATTAACAAAGGCCTGAGCTGTGAAACTTGAAGAAATCCCTAACATACAGGAAGATTAGTCTGAAGCCAAGACTGCCATTGTCTAGAGTCCTGGCCAAATAGCTGGCAACTGAATTGCAGTTCAGTCTTTAACTGCAAATTGCTCTTTGTCATATGGATCCTGCACAAGCTTTGGACCCAAGATCTGCTTTCCTCTTCTCTCAAGTCACTCTGTGATCCCTGGCCGCCTGGGATTTAGTAGCAGACAGCTTGATTTCAGAAGTACTACATTCTGGAGGGGTAGCATGCACGGTTTCTGGATATTTTGTGGAGACTCTTATTTACAGAGTTTAAATGAGAAGTTTTGATAAAAGTTTACTTGTATCACTGAGAAAACTTAAATATTTAGTTGGCCCAACAAAAGTGAGTGATTTATTTGTCCACTGGATACTACAGAAATTGCAAGAATACATCATCTTTTCTCCTGAGAGACATTTTGGTAAAATAAAAATAGCACTGGCTTTGGAGTTGGACAAACCTGGATTCCGGTTTTACCTGTGCCAGTGACCAGCTGGGAGAATTGGGGCAAGTGCCTTATTCTTGTGGCATCTGTTTCCTCATTTGGTTACTCAGGGGTAGTCATATGCACCTCATAGTGCTACTCTGGGGATTGGATGAAATTACGTATGTGAGAGTTTTTGTCAACCTCACAGTGTTATATAAATGTTAGGTAACAGTTTTTAAGTAGTAGTTTTGCCTGCTTTAAGACAGTGTTATATTATCTCTTCGAAATGATACATTTCTAAGAACAAACTGATAGTGAAGTTAGTTTAGGTTCCTTTGCTCTACTGACAAAGTAGAGATTAATAAAAGAAGCTATAGGTATCCTTTGAGTCAGGATATCTTTCTGTGTAGCAGAAAGTTCTACATCAGTCAGATATAGCACGCATGGAGGTTTTCTAACCCAGGATAGTTGATATTTCTTATCAAAATGGACTTTAGTGACAGTGTGTTGTTATCACTCAGTGTTTGTTAATTGACAGGGAGAGAGGAAATAAATTTGAGATAAGAAAGGAAATGGCAGGGGCGCCTGGGTGGCTTAAGTGTCTGACTTCGGCTCAGGTCATGATCTTGCAGTTCGTGAGTTCAAGCCCCATGTCGGGCTCTGTGCTGACAGCTGGGAGCTGAGGCCTGCTTCAGATTCTGTCTTCTCTCTCGATCTCTGCCCATCCCCCACTCGTACTCCATCTCTGTCTCTCAAAAATAAATGAACATTAAAAAAAAATTTTTTTTTTAAAAAGAAAGGAAATGGCATTTGATTCTTTGGGACGGGGCTTTGATAACTGTTAATCATTCATATTGTTCATCTTAAGTGCACCTGTAGGGGCACCTGGGTGGCTCAGTCAAGTAACTGTCTAACTCTTGTTTTCTTTTTTTTTCTTTTTAAATTTTTTTTAATGTTTATTTATTTTTGAAGGAGAGATAGACAGAGAATGAGGAGGGGAAGGGTCAGAGAGAGAGGGACACACAGAATCCAGAGGGGCTCCAGGCTCTGAGCTGTCAGCACAGAGCCCAATGTGGCACTAGAACTCAACGAGCTATGAGATCATGACCTGAGCTGAAGTCGGATGCTTAACTGACTGAGCCACCCAGGCACCCCTGACTCTTGATTTCCACCCAGGTCATGATCTTGCAGTTCATAAGATCGAGCCCAGTGTCAGGCTCACTCTCTTGCTCTCTCTCTCTCTGTCTCGCAAATGAAATAAATAAACATTAAAAAGAGTAAAATTAAATGCACCTATAGGTTTTTGTTTTGTCTTGTTTTGCTTTTTTTGGTTTTGTGGTAGGTTTAAACATGCATGAGACTGAGCTCTCTGGCTGGTAACTTAGATGCCTGTTTTACAAAAGCTACATTTGTCATTGTGGCAAAAAGCATGCTTTGGTGCTTATCTGTGCCTATCATTTTGGGAACAGAAGAAGTTTCCATACTTTCTAAAAAGACCTGAGCAAGAGTTAGTGCACCAACATTGGAAACAAGCTCTGGAATCTTGGGAGCCCAGCCCAGTACTCCTCTGATGGTCACCAGCTGACCACAGTGCCAGGATTGAGAGTTTGTTTCTTCATCTCACCTTAGGCCAATAGATTTGTGTGTTCATCCAGGCACTGCTTGCTAAGCGAGGCCAACACTCAGGGCAGTGGGCATCGAGCGGTGACTCTAAGATTCTCTTCTCCTGAGCACAGCTCAAGATCATGTTGACTTTCTAAACTAGCCTCCCTTCTCAGGGCTAGAGGATTAAGTGTAGGAGAGTGTTATGCTGCTTACTTAGAAAGGGGCAAGAGAAATGCCACAGCTGTGTGAGATTTAGTATGGACTCAGACACTCTGGTGGGCATGATGAGTCAGTGGCTTAACTCAGAAAGTGTTCTTTCTCATATTCCTTCCAACTACTATTCTGTACAAAACAGTTGTTTTGCTTTTGTTAGAACCAGGGAAAACCCATAGAATTGCTTGAATCCTTGCATCCTTGAGAGGACTTAGTTAGGATGTGGTATTCCAAAATCAACCTTCTTAACAAATGTGTTCCCATAAAATTGTTTTCAGTGCCAAGAAAGATCACCCTGAAACAAGGCAATTTTCATTTCATGTTTTATCTACTTTTGGGATTACTCATATTAATTTGCCTGTTAATTTTAATTGCAGAAAACAAGTACAAAAGAATGAATGAATATTCTAGCCTTTTCTTTGGTTTGGGCTAATAAGAATTGTTTATTACAGCTTTTAATATTTGAAAATAGATGGTAGTTTGTCATTTTCTTTGGACATAGAGAATGCCTCAAGTGATGTAAATAAGAAGGTAGATCTGATGTGATTAGAAGCTGTGGTCAAAGCTTTGTGTTGTGTTTTTATAACAGATTTACAGAGCAGCAATGATAATAGAAGGGAGAGTTGGTACTTACTGGCATTCTACATATCCAAACCCTTTTCAGGCAGCAATAGATGTTCATAATTCACAAAGAAACCCACATCCCCTTTCGGGCCATGATCACTAGGCTAAGTCATCCCCAGGTTGCCTTTCACTTCCTTGGTATTCCTATTTCTTGATACTCGTAGACAATGAAGGACCCAAATGGTTAACTCTCCAAGCCACTCTAGGTTGTTCAATGGAAAACTCACCAGGCCCCCTATTTCTTCTCTGTTAGCCGTGCTTATCTTCCTTAATTGCACCTCTGGACCCAATTTTTATATAGAAGTACTATAGTTTCATCAACACAGAACAATGCAGATGGTATAGTATAGCAAAAAATAAATAGGCTCTGGAGTCAGATCTGAGTTTAAATTCTCTGCTTTTCACTTATTACTTATATGACATTGGTCCAAATTGCTTGTTATAACAGAGCCTCAGTTAAATGGTAACACTACCTTGTTGAGTAGGACTTGTTGGCTGTTGTGAGAATTAAAAGTGTGTTTGTTTGTTAAGTGCCCTGTGCAAAGAAAGCACTTAGTTAATATCAGTGGGTTTTGTTGTGGTTGTTATGATGTTGACTTGATATTATCTTAATTAACTGAGCTTTAAATCCCCAACTCTGTGCCACTTTGGCTTCTAAAAAGCTATAATCTGTTTTTACTTGTGCATTTGTTTTTTCATCTTAAGCACAAACTTCATCCTGATAAATTTTAGTCTTGCCTGTCAAGATCCATTTTGGATCCTGATTTGACCTCTAACTTAGTGTCTTTTTCTTTAACTTTGTGTCAGACCTAAAGTTGATCTGTAGAATATATGCATCTTCATCTAAATCACTGAAAAAATATCCACCGGGTTAGGGAATAGTTCAGTTTAGCACTTTATTAATGAACTATCTTGTACTCCATTTATTGTATTGCCATCTCCCCAAATAGACTGTAATTCCTTGGGACCAGAAACCATAGTAAATACATTACTTTTATTTTTATAAAAACAACATTAGTGTAAATCATAATGGCATCTTAATAAATATCATTTGAATACATGAATTAATTATTTTTCCCTCGGATAGAAATCAAGCAGGAAAAGAGCTCACTGCATCGGGGCGCCTGGGTGGCTCAGTTGGTTCAGTGTCCGACTCTTCATTGCAACTCAGGTCATGATCTCATGGTTCATGAGATTGAGCCCCATGTCAGCATAGAGCTGACAGTGCAGAGCCTGCTTGAGATTCTCTCCCTGCCTCCCACCCTTGCTTGCTCATGTTCTGTCTCTCATTCAAAATAAAGAACTTAAAAAAAAAAAAAAAGAGCTTACTGCATCAAATACTTGACTCTGTGGATTTGAAATATGATCACATCTCAGCCAAAAAGGGTCCTTGATTTTGACCACTCTTTAGGAATTTTTTTAAATTTTGTCTTTAAATTTCTACGTATTTATAATTAAGTCAAGTATCTATAACTGCCACTTACTGAAAAAGCCAAATGGGGATGCTAGAACTGTACTCTTGGTCATCCTTACCACAGTTTTAGAATCACAGCACATTGGTATATTATGAGATGGTCCTGATTTTAAACTATGTTAAAAATAGATACTTCTCGCTGCTGTGTTCTTTATAAAGTAAACCTGTTTATTCATATCAAACAAATTAAGTTGTTTTCTTTTTTTTTTTTTTTTTGCTTTATGGTATATACATCTATGTATAATAAATTGGTCTTAGGTA